CCACACCCCCCAGCCCTCTTCCCTGCTCCTCTGGGAAGCTCCATGCTTCTTCAGTCTAAGAGTTATTTTTGCTGTGTTTTATTAGTTCATTTTATTTGTTTATTTATATTCCTTGTGTGAGTGAAACCATCTGGTAGTTATCATTTTTCCTGACTTATTTTACATTGTGGAGTGCCCTTATGTTCCATCCATGATCATCACCAATGGCAAGAGTTTATCTCCTTCAGTGGTTGAATAGTACTACATTGCGTATATATATCACGGTCCTCACGGTCCTCCTGTTGTTCATCGATTTGCTCGAGCGGGCCCGGTAACGTCTTTATCATGAGACTTGTTGTTACTGTGTTTGGCATATTGAATACGTCACAGGTAGCTTGCCAGGCTCTGCCATGCGGGCGAGATACTCTCGGTAGCTTGCCAGGCTCTCCGAGAGGGGCGGAAGAATCGAACTCGGGTTGGCCATGTTAGCCGCTTGTAAGGCAAATGCCTTACTGCTGTGCTATCGCTCCAGCCCAAATATATATATAAATATATATATAACATATATATATATATATATTCAAGTATATATAAAATCAAGGTGAGTAATACTATGACGTAATTTCAAGTTCTCTGGTAAGGCTACTGAGAATTTTTCATCTCTCTGTGTGCTATCTATGTCTTCTATGATGAAGTATCTACTCAGAGCTTGGTTATTGTTGGGTTGTATTTGTTCTTTATATATTTGGGTAATCATGTGCAAACATCTTCTCTCAGTCAGAAAGTTGCCACTGCCCTTTCTGTGGGATAGGGATATATATCACAGTGCTTCCTGACAGTGCTCAGGGACTTTTCCTGGTTCTGCACTTCAGGAATCACCTCTGCTGTGCTTACAGAACCATTTGTGGTGCCAGATATCCAACTGGGGCTGGCCATGTGCAAAGTATGTGCCTTATGCACAGTGACTTCTCTGGCCCAAAAGTTGCTTTCCTGTTCTGATGGTGGTTTCTTTTGCTGTATAAAAGCTTTAAGGTTTAATGCAGTCCTGTTTGTTGATTTTTTCATTTGTCTCTCTTGCTGTTGGCATGCGTGGAGTCCAAACAGATGTGTCTGATGTTGAAGTCCAGGAGTGCCTTGGTTATGTTTTCTTTTACATGAATTGCTATTTTGATATATATAAAATATAGTGCATATTGTGATGTATATAAAAGATGTACACTGTAAAATTTTGTACTTCTCTGACATTCTCTATGAATGCCATTTTGTCATTCAAAGGTGAACACACTGAATATATTCAACAACTTATTAACAAAATCACCCATTTTTTAAAATCCCCCTACTGTAGGATAACATTGGTTTGTCCTTTCTGCCTGCCATAAGGAGCTTAGGTTTATTGGGTTACTCCCATCACAGTGCTCCCATCTCTCTGGATTTATTTGTAAACTCTTTCTTTGTGCTCTAATTCCCAAAATTATCAATCACCTTCGTCTCCTAATGAGACTCTGTTAACTTGTAAATATTGCTCTTCTCTTCTCCTTATGTCCTTTGCATAGTTAGTTACTTTAGAGAAATGTCGTTTTTGTATAGACACAGGAAGACAGTTAATGCTATGCTTTTGTAACTTGACTCCAAATGATATTCACTCCCGGGCATCTGTTCTCTCGACTTAAACCTCAGTTGTCCTTACTTTCTAGCACCCCTAAAGCAGGGGCCCAACGAGGGACTGGACCCAGGGCAAGCTGTGAGCTACCCTCGCATTGAAATGGGCCAGGTCAAAGTGCCATAATTCTTAACTATAAGTTAAGAGCATGGTCATGGACAAATTATTTCATGATCCAAAACGTAACAACTAGATTAGGACCCTGCTAGGATTAGGAAAGAATAATCTGGCCTGAGCACTGTAGTCTGGGATCTATAGTGAGATGTCCCCGAGGAGAGCTACACTACAAGCTTAATGTATCTCTTACTCATACAAAATAACTAATATTAAGAAGTAGAATTGAGATGTTGATTAAGATGTTAGTTAAATGATTGTTGGACTAAGGAAAGGAGAAGCACACCCTAGTTGGTATTTCACCCTTGAGCAGAGGGCTTTCATATGTTGATCGTGCTACATGACCTGGGTCTGGTTGCTATCCCCAATGCTGGGAGGTTGATGAAGAGACCAGAGGAGAGACCAAGGCAGCAAGTAAGAATGCGGAAGGACTAGCAAGGGGGACAGGAGTAGACGGGAATGAGGAGCCTAGTGAGACTGGAACAGGCACGTGGGGAGGATGGAATAAACGGCAATTGATCACCAACCAGCGTGGCCCTCATTTCTTCCTTCGTCTGCCATTGGCATCAGGGAAACAACTCGAGTCCACAGAACGCAGGCAGTGAGAGAGCCAGGGGATTTCCTAGTTGTTTATGTGATTACACACCCCACAAAGTTAAATTTTTATGTCATATCTTGAAGTATGGAGACAGTGACTTTTCCTAGATACCCAGCTCACAACCTTCTTTTTCTTGTTTCTGTTTTTGAGTCAAAAGTAAAATGGATTTGTCAAAAAAGAGTCAGGTAACATCCTGGTAGTTGGTGCTGATTTACATCTAGGAATCAGTCATGACTGTGAAAGAACAATCTCTCTCTCTCTTCATCAAAACAAAGAGTAGTTTATTATACATAATACCAAGCCAATATGTATCTTTGACAGTAAAATAAACACAACACAAAATATGAAGAGAATAACTCAAAAGCACATGGTGAATAGTACAACACATCATCAGTGAATCAAGAAAATATGGTCTATTTTCTAGAACCTTCTTTGGGTTAGGATCTTGTATTAGTGCAAGAATACAAGACTCAAAGTTGTGGTCCCAGAGCTCAAGTACCAGCTGCTTAGAATAGTCTTTTGATATCAGGGTTAGGGCTAAATAGATTTTTTATGTTGATTTTCTTTGGGGATGTTTGGGTCACACCCAACAATATTCAGGGCTTCCTCCTGGCAGGGCTCAGGGTACTAAATGGGGCGCTGGGAATCGAACTCAGGTGCAAAGGCAAATACCCTACCAACATTATTATTGCTCTGGCCCATCTATGTTAATTTTTAAACAGCCTGTGAGTCACACTATAATAGTCCACAATTCTCTTAGAAAAAAATGTTGCTTCAATGAAATCATTAATTTTGTTATTTTAATATAGATCATTATTGCTTTGAACAAACATTAAGAAATTAAAAAATATGTAAAACTGAAAGAACTGAAATATTTACTATAAGCTATGTATTACCACTTTCTCAGTATAAAATATTTTAAGCTGAATCATTTATACATTCTATGGGTATCACATGTAATAGAATAAATGGTTAAGCAATGAAAAAATAATCCCAAACTTTTATCAGTTTAGTTTTGGTAAACAATTAAGCATGCTTGATGTAAACACACTGAATTAATGTCATTGATGAGGAAACGATGAGCACTGGGCTGTAAGAATGGTGACTGGGATTCTCAGTTCAGTGTTATCACACATTTCCTTCTGCTGACACTGTCAGTAGTTACTGTGATTTACAAATACCACAAGGGATTAATTCTCTGGGTAAAGTGCCCATTTCTGTTAGAATGAGTTCACTTGGTTACAAACAATGTAAATTCAGCCCTACAAAACTTTCACAAGATCCGTTTAGTTGCTGATTCTGTTCTAATTAAGCTTTCTGGAGGCAATGAGAGGTTGCTTATATCTATATCTATATCTATACCCATATCTAGATATATATGATAATATAAGATAAATAAAAGAATTTCTTTTCCATTTCAGTGAAATTTATTTTTGGCTAAACATAGAGATTCTACATTCAGGTTAAACTTTGTCATATATATAGTCATTACAGACTTTCTAAGCATGGATATACAATATAATGAACTGAACTCAAGAGCTATGGGAAGGGGAACATAAATTCTCTTATTTCATCTGCTATAATTCTTACGAATCCCAGAGTGCATGTAGGTCCTTATAAAAAATCAGTAATATATGGATCCTAATATAAAAATCAATATTTTCACTAGAGGGCATAGAATTGTAGGAGGGAGTTTTGGCTGCCACTCCACAGTGAAAGGAACTTTTACTGTGTTTTCATTTATTAGTTTGCATTTAATAAAAATTAATAGCCCATCCATTTTTGATGTGTTTTTAACCTGCACAATAAAATTTAAGAATGTGTGTTATCACTGGATGCACACATGTAAAACAAGCCCACCCATTCTCTTTGCAACACACACACATGTTCCTGTACATACATGCTACAATGTGCATGTGTTCTGCACAAATAAGACCCCTTGTAGGTGCTCCTAATTTGACTAATGTGGCATTTTAGGGCTCAGGACCATGAGGACCATAACCACAGATTCTCATCATCTTTGTAGTCAATGCTTTCGTTTTGCAATGACTTTACAATACATGTCATAACTTTTTGACAACAGGAAGCAATTCAGACGAGAAAAAGAGATTGCTAAAGGAAGTATTTGTCTTACTAAGGCTAATGAATACAGAAGGGATTCTCATGCAATATATAATGAACCCAAGTGTCTCATTTCCTGATTAGAAAACTTGTCTGTATATATTATCTGGTAATATTCAGGACACCAACAAAATTTATAAGAAAAATAAGTTCTTACAAGTAAAAGTATATTAATACTGACTTTTATGCCTCGGAGACACTTACCAGACTTAATGTTATGAGAAAACACAACTATAGATTTTCTACTGAAAGCAGCTTATGTATCAGTAAAATCTGCTCTTCTCTCTCCTTCCTTCCTTCCTTCCTTCCTTCCTTCCTTCCTTCCTTCCTTCCCTCCCTCCCTCCCTCCCTCCCTCCCACCATCTTTCTTTCTTTCTTTCTTTCTTTCTTTCTTTCTTTCTTTCTTTCTTTCTTTCTTTCTTTCTTTCTTTCCTTCCTTCCCTTCCCTTCCCTTCCCCTTCCTTCCTTCCTTCCTTCCTTCCTTCCTTCCTTCCTTCCTTCCTTCCTTCCTTCCGGGTCACTCCCAGCAATGCTCAGGGTTACTACTGGCTCTGCACACAAGAATTACTCCTGGTAGCGCTTGGAGGACCATATGGGATGCTGGGAATCGAACCCAGGTCGACCGCATGCAAGGCAAATGCCCTACCCACTCCAGCCCTGAAATCTGCTCTTCTTAAAGGGAAAGAGGCTTCATCATTGGATGGATATTAGTAATGTCCACAGTAAGCGGTGTTACCTTTGGGCACTAGGCAGTGAGAAGCAGGAAGAATGTTAACTGGTACTTAAGAAATTAAAAACTTTCTCTAAGAGTGACACTGTTACTCATTACAAAGTTCCTCAACATAAGCAGAAATGTGAAAAAAATGTAAGATGCCATTTCTTGAAGTTCAGCTGGTGATCCTCGGAATAGGTTTGGATCTTATTTGAAGTACACGATCACCCCTTCACATGTCTGCGCGAACAAAAGAAGCAAATACTCCGTCTTCCTGAGCCAGGAGGCTTTCGGGAGTGTCATACTCTAGAATATTCCCTCGCTTCATCACAATCACCAAGTCTGCCGTCAGAATGGTGTGAACCCGGTGCTGTGGGTGAAAGAAAAATGTGCATTTGTTACAGATTTCAGGGTACAAGCAATAGAATATGCTACTTTATTCTTCATTCAGGAACATTTATTTACCTTGGGAGGACTAACAAGAGAAGCAAGTATTCAAAATAGCACTCAGTCGCGTACTTTTAAATACTGATCACTGTGATTAGTTTTATATAATTGAGCACGGCCTTTGCGTTAGTTCCACGAAACTGTAAGTAGACAAATGGGTGTTTCTCAGATAACTAAATAAGAGGAGGCATCAAGAGCGAGATGAGGCTTTGTTTAGTCTAGAACTCTTATGGAGAGTTCACGAGTTCTGTGGGCAAGAGAATTGAAAGAAAGTGGTTCAGTTCTGGGAAGACAACACGGGGAAGACTGCTGGCATGCAGTGTTAGAACGGATTATCTCGGACTGAAGTCATTTTATCTCTCAATATCAGAGCCCCCTGCCCCTTCCTCTCTCCGTGGTATGCTCTGGAGAGAAGTGTTGGTATTAGTGACCAACAGTAATGGAAGTTCTTATTCATTGCGGCTACAGAGTACAGCAAATACTTCCCCCACACACTTGTTAATCATCACTGTTAATGTTCATTCCTCTATCTCCTTGATAAGGAAGGCACTGGAATTTATGGAGAAAGTGCAAAAGCAAGACAGTGCATGGAAATACACAGCAGAATCAGAACATCAAAACAGGTGTGAGTGTGAGTTGTTGGCAGCTGCCGTTACACTCTTGGGAGTCTCTCTTCACTCCTGCCATATTTAGCACCATACTAAAAGCCCAGACTCTTGACAGTGTCTGGGTGTGTATTTCAGTGTCATTATTGAGCAACAGACTTTACTGGATGCCTCAAGTGTCATAGGTTTCACACCTGTAAATGACAGTAACAATCATACCAGCCCTGGAGAACAGTTGTGAGGAGCAAAGGGATTATTGGTGTAAACAGTTCAGCATCTTCTCTAACCCGTATAAGCGTATTGTAAGTGTCAAATATAGTAGTTTTTAATTTTTTCAGTTATCCAGGCAGAAACCTCTAATGTGGGCCTTTTTGCCACTCTGGGTAAGATCAGAGCTATTCAGAAGGAATATATGATCAACAGGGGCCACGTTATATATATATATATGTATATAATATATATGCACGATATATATTTCAGAATTATCTAAATTTGGGGGATAATGTTTAACTTTGCAAAAGGACCAGAACTGCTGTGTATATCCATGCATCTAGGGAACAAAAATCTCATATCACTGAAATGGTTAATATAAGCTATGCATTTTCCCTTTAAAAAATTAGTCTTTAATAACCATATCATAGATGTTAAAAAAAGAACTTGACTTCTAAGTCCATAAATAGAATATTACAAACATTGCTTTGCTATTCTTAAATAATGTTTATTTAAAAAAATTGAAATCTGTGGCCAATAGAAATAAAAATATCTGGCATTTATTTTATTAATCCAAATTATATTTTTGCTTGAGAAAGCATGGTGTAAGCTATACTTGTGTTGATGAATTTTTCAAAATGCTCCAGAGAAATGAAGTATGAGTGTAAAATAAATCTCTTTCAAAAGTAAATGCCATGCATTTCACCATAAAGGCTTTATTTCAAAAGTTAGAGGAATTAAGTAACTTTTAAGTTGTTGCATCAGTATCAGAGGTAGTTAAAAAACAAAACAAATAAGAGAAAACAATGAATGGAGCACCACCTTGCAACAGAGGAGAAAAATCCTCTTAACAGAGCTGTGGATCATTTTATAAGGAAGAGCCTGGTAATAGATTCTCACATGGCCTCCTTTGTATCAACAACTTGAAATTCTGGACATCCTAGTGGTCACGCATACAAGGTGTCTTAAAATGAGAAATTATTGGTAAAATATGCCGAAGTCTATGGGAAAGTTTCAGTGCATGGAGGAGAAAAGAAATCAGGAGACTATGACACTCTGTTAAACATGCAAATTATGCTCAAATAATCTTCCAGATGAACTACCCACCATGGCATGCTCCACGCAGAAAGCAACAAGCTTTTTGAAGAAGCAAGGACCTGCTTTCTTCCCCTTCACCCCAAAGAGCTCCTACTTCCTCCAGGAAGAAAGTTATTGAAACTAGTAGAGAACCAAATGTCAAGTTAGCCTTTTCCTCTCCTCCATAAACTCCTTGGTCCTATAGTATCAAACAGGGCACTCTTCTGCCCCAAACGGGAACCAGAGTTCACTAGGAAAGTGAGAGGAAGAGGCTTTTTCTTTTGCTTTTCTTTTTTTTTCTTTTAGGGGCACACTGGACAAAGCTTAGGGGTGACTCCTGGCTCAGCACTCAGGAATTGCTCCTGGCAGTGCTCGGGGATCCATATGGGAGGCCAGGGCTGGAACCCAGGTCAGCCTCGTTCAAGGCAAAAGCCCTCCCCGATGTACTATCGCCTCTGGCCAAGGAAGAGGCTTTTTCTTTACTTAGGCTCCATTTGTAGAAGGTGGGTCCTGATGGGGGTATTATTTCTTATCACCTTGAGAAAACTGTCCTTGAAACAGTGATTTTCCTTTCTCCCAGGTGTCACCCACCAAGATGGAAGCCTTCACATTGTCATATGTGTATTTGCATGGCATGCAGGAGTTCGCGAACGTGTGCATGTGCGCCCATGGTATTGGGCTGATTGTGTGATGACGCCCCCATGTTAGTTCCCCCCCCCCACATGCTTCCCTTTAATCATTGCAGTAGCCTTGCCTACGTGAGGGACGGCTCCCAAGATAACTACCAGAGAATTGGGAGACTTGGCAGAGGGCTGCGTCACAGTCTACTTGTGGGTCATCACCAAAGTGGAAAAGAGGCCGTTCTTGTGGGCGAGCAGGCTTGGAACCGTCCCACACTCCACTAAAATACCCTCAGAAAAGACTAAAACCAGGCCTGCGTCCATAATCGAAGAGACACGGTGCTGGAAAGAAAAGAAAAGTGGAAAGAAGAGAAAACGCATCAGCAAGAGGGAAACTGCCCAAGCGATACATTAAGAAGAGAGTTTTACTAAACATTAGACCAAGTGTGAGGGAAAAACAGACCCATCTACAAATAAGGAAGAATTCCACTCTCTGCTGAGAGAAGATACGACATGAACTCTGGAGACTGAAATGTCCTTCGGTTGGAAGCTATGGAAAGTCAGAGCATGTGAGTTGCTCTGCTTCTAACGCAGGGTGTCTTACAACCTCCTTTTTGGGTAAAGAGTTAAATGAAGAGAAACAGAAATGAAGTCTAAATGGCTACAGAACTGGTTGTCAAATTTAGGGTTTTCCTTTTGAGACTATTCAGCAAATCATGAAGAACAAATATTCCATAGAAACAGTCACCAGTAATGGGGGACATGCATAGGTTTGGACCTGCTGAAATATTCAGATTTGGGATGCCTTATTGAGATTTAGAGTGGGGTAGAGGGAGAAGACAGTTTTGGGGGGAAATGTATCAAGGTTTTCTTGTTAGCTGCTTTAAAAATGGTTTTTGCACAGGTAGAGAGAGCTATGAGCAGAAAAAGACAGAATTCAACATATCAAGATATTATAATCACTCAAAATTAAAGACAACTGAATCCTGGAGCAGAAACCAAAGAGGAGTCGACCCACTCCATCACCCCTACTTACAGCTATTGTAACCACGGTGCGGTCTGCAAAAGCTGTCATTACCACTTTCTGCAAAATGTTTTCCTGCAAAAATACAAATAAAAATGACCTGAATTTTCTCTGGTCTACTTTCTCTAGTTTCAAATAGTTGACCCACAGCCATGACCAGTCCTTCTGAGAACACACACTGCTACACCTTCTGAAGAAAGTAAGGCGTGGGTCTGTCACGGCAGAGAGCTCGGACTGGAATCAGAAGAGATCCCCCAAATGCACATGAAACTCAGTGACCAACCAACCAAGGACAGCTGTGAGGTACAGGGCCTGGGAAATGGAAGAGGAAAGGGAAATAGTAATGCTTGCCTGAATGATAACACAAGACCAATAATGCCCTCAACTGGCGTTAATAGTTGGGCCAGAAAAGGAGAGATAATATACATGCCAAAAACTTGGATTCTGACCTATAAAAGGAAGCATTTCTGTTCCTACCACACACTATGTATTTCACAACATATTCTGGGTGAAGATCCTCCTAGGGGAAAGAAGGGGCATCTCGATCATTGCTTTCCCTTTTCCACTCCTTTTTTTAATCTTTTTTTTTTTTAGTGCTCTGGTGTTTTTCTTTTGTTGTCTGCTTTATTTTAATTTTTTGTCACACTGGTGGTGTGACCCCAGGCAGCGCTCAGAGGATCATATGAAATCCTGGGGATCAGCTGCCACAGGCAAGACCAAAGCCTTCCTTGTGTATGACCTCCCTGGCTTAGAGTGTCTAAAATCACCTAAACTAGGCAACTACTAATACACAGACTGATGAAGGGCCTCAGGCCTAGGAAGGTTGAGAACCATTGGCCTAAGGCCTTGGTTATAACTGCTGGTCCATGCAGGACACTGGTCAATCTTGTCAGAACACTGCCCTGGTCTTAATTTAAGAAGTTATTTCTTCCAATTCCGTCTCTTTTTCTCAATTCATTTTTGAAAATGAAATATTGTCAATTAATCTCCTCCTTACTCCTTCTTTCTTGTGTCTATTAAGGTAGTGTTTGGATTATTTATTGATTTATTTTTGGGGTGTTGTTCTCTGAATGTGGTGCTGCCTACTTAATTAAATGTAGAAACTATTTTGGTGCTTTATATTTACTTTGAGGGGCTGGAGAGATAGTACAGGGGTTGATGCATTTGCTTTGCACATGGCTGACACCCCAGTTAGATCCTTGGCACCTTAGTAGCATCAGGAGTGGTCCCTGAGCATAGAACCCAGAGTAAACCCTAAGCAATGCTGGGTGTGGCCACCCCCTTCTCGCACACCAAGAGCATACCCTAAATAAAATAATTTCTTTAAGAAGGCAAATTCCCTTCTTCCCTTCTCAAATTCCCTTCCCTCCTTCCCTTCCTTTCTCTCCCCTCTACTTTTGGGTCACAACCAATAGTACGTAGGGCTTACGCCTAGTTCTGCGCTCAGGAATCATGCCTGGAAGTGCAGAGGGAACTATATGGGTTCTGGGGATGGACTCCAAGTCAGCCGTGTGCAAGGCAAATGCCCTACCTGCTATACTATCTCTTCAGTCCCCCAAAGGCAAAGTTTCTTACCTGTAACTATGAACATGTTGAGAAGGCCATCACTAATTCTAGGGAAATCCTTCAGATTGCCTTACAAGATTGGTTTTGGTTATCAAGAGAGATTTGCGTGCTACATTTTAGAGCCTCCTGGCATAATACATACATTTTTGCACACAAAGTCTCACTTTACATCAATGGAGTCCTGAAATTTTATTGTTTGGGGGTATCTTTTAAGTGATGGAAAAGAAGTAATTCTTTAAATGATGGTCAATTGAGGTCTCTTGGCAATACTAATTCCTAGCAAGCAGAGTTAGGTCACCCGTCTTGTGATTCCCAGTGGGCTCCCATAGACTAGCCAAGGAGGTGAGTGAAAAAGACACTGGAGGGTGAGGAGGGTTTGGAAACCAATCTGGAAAGTCAGTGGTGCCTTTATGCGGGGGCACTAGCTCATCTGCTTACAAAGGCTGGCCAGACACTCACTGTGGCCATGTCGATGGACGCCGTGGCCTCATCCATGATGAGAATACTGCTCTTTCGCACAAAGGCCCGGGCCAGGCAGAACAGCTGTCTCTGTCCAACGCTGAAGTTCTCCCCGCCTTCAGTGACCACCGCATCTAGATCAGAGAGAGATGCGAATATCCCACTGAAAACAATGCGGCTAAACAGAGCAGTGGACAGCAGGTCTGGCAGGCGGAAGCCAGTGGACAGAGGGACGAGGACTTCATGTGGAACAAGGAGAGAGAAATCTTCCTCTGGAGCAATGAAGAGTAAGACCCCCGAAGGCATCCTGTTTTTACCGACAGATGCAAACAACATCCTTCTAGGATAATATAAAAACAGCACTCTCAACATTATGAAGATCAGAAGACCTTGAAGATTGTTTAATTATTTAATGTGATTCTTTAAAGAGATTATTTAATACAGACATCTAGTTCTCAAAACATTGAATTACTGCCCACCATCATCATCTGGCTGGAGTGATAGCACAGTGGTAGGGCGTTCGCCTTACAAGCGGCCAACATGGTCGCCCTGAGTTCGATTCCTCCGCCCCTCTCGGAGAGCCCGGCAAGCTACCGAGAGTATTCGATATGCCAGACACAGTAACAACAAAGTCTCCAATGGAGACGTTACTGGGCCCGCTCGAGCAAATCGACGATCAACGGGAGGGCCTTTACTTTACTTTTATCATCTGGCCAATCTAGAGATGAGCATTATAGGAGAGACTATTCTTCACTCCATTCCTGTTCTCTTTGTATCCACCATTCCACTGTCAGTTACAACTGGTTAAGGACCAGGCTGATTTTGTTCATCAGTACCTTCCCAGATCTTTGATACCTGATACTCTCATTGAATAAGCCACTGTCACAGGAATATATATTATCTTCTCCTTATCATCTCCCTCTTTTTGTTCCCACCCACATTCCATAAACGATACTGTTCTTTTCCAAAATATCTATTAGAATTCAGACACTTTTTAATAGGGTCCTGGGGGAAAATGTCCACTGATTATATTCTCATTGGATCAGATTCTTAAAGTTTCTCATGCTCAGGGTTATGCATTTTTTCTCCAAATTTTATTTCCATAACAAATAAGGAAGGGACAGGGATAATGAATGTTTTCCCCCAGACCTGGGCCGAGCCAGATATTTATCAAAAAATTGAGGAAACACTTATTAAGATGATTACACATGACATTGCCATGATGGATGAGAATGAGACAGTCACGTAAAAGCCCCCATTACTAACTGTAACCTCCAAACACTCCATTTCAACCCCCCACTTACAGTCATGTAAAAACTCCCATTGCTTACTGGAACCCCAAACACTATGTCCAGCATTCAGAACAGATGCCTGCAGCTCTCATGTGAGTGAAGAGGACACTGTCTGCCTTTCCAACCATTGATCAGAGGTGGAGTGTGTCCCAAAACACTCAGGAAATGGGTCTATACGCATTGCCAGTTTCTCAAGTACGGTGGTTAGGCTCTTCGGGGGAGGCATTAAAAAATATTATGGGAAAGTTCAACAGACCTCTGGATTAACTGCCGTGGCAAGAACAATAAAACTGTTCTTGAAGACATTCTGTCTCAGTTTTTGTTTATGGGAATACCTTCCCCTGTAACTTCATTAAAATGGTAAAAATAAGATTTTGGAGTACATCCTCCTTTCTGGATAAATGAACACACAAAAATGATTTTATAAGTTTATCTTTTTAAATTGAAGCAACACTGCATTTTAACATGCCATGACAACAGTTAGGTTTGATCATTAAAAATCAACGTGTGTACAGGGAGGGAATAACAAATGGCCCAGGACAGTCGAACCTGAGGACTGGTTTACAGAACTGGCTCACCAAGGGTGGGGGCAGTGGGAGGGATCCCTGAGACAATGGTGGAGGGAAATGAACTCTTGGAGGGGATTTGTTGGAGAAGTCTTTGCATGAAGCCCTACAGTGGGCACTATGTAAATCATGATGCTTCAAATAAAGTAAATAAATAAGGGGCAAGAGTGATGGTACAGCAGGTAAGGCATTTGGTTTGTATGCAGCTGACTCGGGTTTAATGCCTGGCACCCACTCCATATGGTCCCCTGAGCCCACCAGGAATAATTCCTGAGTGCAGAGTCAGGAGTAAGCCCTGAGTACCACCTGGTGTGCATTCTCCACTCCCACCCCACAACAAACAAAAGAATTAAATGCATAAAATAGATTTAAAATAAAAGTGAATATCTGCTTTATTGAAAGTTGAATTCTATACTTTGACAGACAATTGATCACTTCCTACCCAATTTACCCATATTCCCTCCTCACATCACTTCTGAGAACTACTAGTTAGTCTTAGGATCTAAAAGTTTATTTATGTTTTATTTTGCCCATCAATTTGTTTGATTTCTCTGTCTACTACCGATGAGTGAAACTGTATGATATTTGGCTTTCTCCTGATTTATTTTATTAAACAGAATTCCTTGGACATTCAACTAGATTTTTGTCTATTAACTTTGTAGGCACAGTCACTTTAATGTTTAGAGTAATTTATTTTTAGAAAGACTGGCATCGTTAGAATTAAGAACTGTTATCTTCAAGTAGTGATGACTTCTTCCTTTCCAATCATAACAACTTATTTATATTCTTTTCTTGACTCACTGTGCTTCTAGGACCATCAACACAATAGTGAACAATAAAGATAGAGTGAATATCTTTTTCTTTTTTGGCTTTTTTTGGTCACACCCAGCTATGCTGAGGGGTTACTCCTGGCTTATGCACTCAGGAATCACTCCTGGCAGTGCTTGGGGAACCATATGTGACGCCGGGGATTGAATCCAGGTCAACCATGTGCAAGGCAAATGCCCTACCCACTGTACTATCACTCTGGTTCCCAGAGGATATCTTTGTGTTGTGCCAGTTCCTAATTTGGGGGGGGGGGTAAGAGTTTTATCAGAACAGACGTTAATACTCATCTGAATGCTCATGCCCATCACATACCACTGACGACATCTAGTCATTGGTTTTGTTTCGTAAGAGACTTTGTACTTCTATTTCAGTGTTGTTCCACTAATAATAGATTTCATTTTCTTCTGAATATTCTTGGAATATGGTTTCTAAAAATTTGTTTTTTTCTTCTCGATTGTCCAATTTGCTACCATATAGCGTTCATTCTATAGTATATACCTAATTTGTATTTCTTATTTCATCTATTTTATTTCTTTCTGATTATTTACATTTTCTCTCTCTTCCTTGAGAGTTTGGTTCATAGGCTGTTTATTTTGTTAATTCTGTTAAAGAATTCCCCTGACCCTGAAGGAGCCCCCAATATGTCAGCAGGCTACACCTGCACATGACAGCGACGAATGGAGACGTTACTGGACCCGCTTGAGCGAATTGAAGAACAACGGGGTGATAGTGATAGTGATGTTAAAGAATCAGTTCTTGCTCCTTCACTGTTGGTGGGAATGTCCACTGGTTCAGCCCTTCTGGGAAACAGTATGGACGATTCTCAAAAAATTAGAAATTGAGCTCCCATTTGACCCAGCAATACCACTCCTTCCCAGGAGGAGGAGAATTTAACAGAATATATCCCAGAGAGGCAAAAATGTATAGTCGAAGTGACATCTGCACTTGTTTGTTCATTGCAGCACTCTTGACAATAGCCAGAAACTGGAAGAAACCTGAATGCCCAAGAACAGATGACTGGTTAAAGAAACTTTGGTACATCTACACAATGGAGTACTATGTAGCTGTTAGAAAAGATGAAGTCACGAAATTTACATACAAGTGGTACAATATGGAAAGTATCATGCTAAGCGAAATGAGTCAGAAAGAGAGGGATAGACATAGAAAGATTGCATTCATCTGGGGGATATAAAGTAACAAAGTATGAGATTAATACCCAAGAATAGCTGAGATCAGCACCAGGACGATTACTCCATAACTTAGAGGCCAGCCGGGTATCCTAGAGGAAAGGGCAGTTCAGATAGAGAAGGGAGCACCAAATAAAGGATGTTTGGAGGATCCTCCCAGGAGGGGAGATGCATGTCGAAAGTAGACTATGGACTGAACATGTTTGCCACTCAATGCCTCTTTTGCAGACCACAACACCCAAAAGGAGAGAGAGAACAGAGGGGATTGCCCTGCCACAGAGACAGGGGGGATGGGGGGATGGGGGTGGGAGGGATATTATCCATGGTGGTGGAAAATGGGCACTGGTGGAGGGATGGGTATCTGATCATTGTATAATTGAAACCAAAGCACAAAAATTGTAAATCTACAACTTCAAAAAAAATAAAATAAAATAAAGGGAAAAAAAATAAAAAAAAAAAGAAAAGGTAAAATCATGCAGTTTGTTGCAACCTGAATAGAACTGAAGGGCATCAGGCTAACTGAAGAGGGAAATGGACAAATACCAGATAATTTCACTCATCTATGGTATGACTAAGGAATGGACAATGGTGATGAATGACAAACCTTTGGGTTTTGGATAGAAAACATAAATAACCAAGAAGGGGAGCTGAGGAGTATCGAGATGGCCATAAAGACAACGGGGAAGGGTCTTGGGTTCTTTGATGCTAATGAAAGTGTAGTACAAGAAAGTATAGCAAGGATGGTGGTGGTGGGAGAGATGCTGGGATCATTGATGGTGGGAAATGGGCACTGGTGGAGGAATATGTACTTGATCATTGTATGACTGAAATGCAAGCACAAAAGTTTGTAAGTCTATAACTGTACTTCACGGTGATTCACTAATAAAAATTTTTGAAAAAGAGAAAAAAAAGAATCAGTTCTTGGTTCAATTGATCTCTCTTAATGTCTTTTTTATTCCTATTCATTATTTTTGCTATGACTTTAATTGTTTTCTTCCTTCTACTAACTTTCATTTTCTATTTTTCTTCATTTTATAGTTTCTTTAAAATAAAGGCATTTTTTGGTGCGTATCTTCTTGTTTTTCAAGGTGAGTATATTGTTATAAACATTCCTCTTAATACTGCTTTTGCTACATCTCATAGGTGTTGATTACTTGATTCTTTGTTTTTGGTTCCCTCCAGACATTTAAAAAATTTAGTTTCATTGAGTCCATCTCTTTTTTTTTTCTGGTCGATTTCTAGTTTTATGGTCTGAAAACAATGTTTGATATGATTTCAATCTTTATACACTTACTGAAATTTATTTTGTGTCCCAATATATGGTTTAAGGGCTGTTTAAGTATGCTTAGAAAATGTTTTGTGGACACTTGAGTGTGTATTCTGTGGTTTGGGGTGGAATGTTTTGAAAATATCTGTTTGGTCCATCTCATTTAATTTGTCATTTAATGCCATGGCTTCCTTGGTGATTTTCTGTCCAATAAAGGCCTCTCTTGTTATCTGATTGCTATGTCTTCCTTCAGGCTTGTTCATAATGGCTTTATATATTTTGGTGCTGCTAAGATTAGTGTGTATATATTGAGTGCCATGTCCTCTGGCACTGACCCCTTTATAATGATATAATGTCCAGCTTTGTTTCCTAGTACATGTTTTGCTAGAGGTCTGTTTCTGTTTTTATATTTGCTCGAGCGGGCCCAGTAACGTCTCCATTGGAGACTTTGTTGTTACTGTGTCTGGCATATTGAATACTCTCGGTAGCTTGCCGGGCTCTCCGAGAGGGGCGGAGGAATCGAACTCGGGTCGGCCATGTTGGCCGCTTGTAAGGCGAACGCCCTACCCGCTGTGCTATCGCTCCAGCCCAAGAATAGTGCTTCTGGCTCTTTTTATAAAAATTTTCCATTCCTTCACTAAAGTGAAGTCTATATATATTTTTATAGTTTGGGTCTTATGTAAGCTTATGGCTGCATTTTGTTTTAAATCTGTCCCACCACTCTGCCTTTTGATTGGTGAGTTCAGTTCAATACATTAAGAGTGCTACTGATTGAGAAAGGTGAGTGACTTCCATGCTGTATTCTGTTTTCTAATTTTATTGATTTATTGCCTTGATCAATTGTTTTCCATTTTTTTTATTAAGACACCGTGAGGTAGGTAGCTGTTCATAGTTGTGTTTTAGGAATACAAAACAGTAACAATTTTTAAAAAGCAGTTAGATAAAACTTCTTTCAAAATTTCTTTTTTTTTCCTTTTTGGGTCACACCTGGCGATGCACAGGGGTTACTCCTGGTTCTGCACTCAGGAATCACTCCTGGCGGTGCTCAGGAGACTATCTGGGATGTTGGGAATCAAACTCGGGTTGGCTGCATGCAAGGCAAACGCCCTACCTGCTGTGCTATCGCTCCAGTCCCTCAAAATTTCTTTTAAGGTGGGGCTAGTTTTTGCAAACTCCTTCAGATTTTGTTTCACTAGGAACTCATTTTTTTTAGCCTCCTATGTCAAGGAGTCTTGCAAGTGATAATATTGCTTGTTGGTATTTTCATTGTTGAGTATTTTTTAATATGTTATCCCACTGTATCCTGGTCTATTAAATTATTCTTATTTTTCTGAGGAGGTAGGAGTACTTTTTTTTTAAAAATTTTTATTGGTGAGACACCATGAGGTACAGTTATAGACTTACAAATTTTTGTGCTTGGGTTTCAATTATACAATGATCAAATATCCATCCCTCCACCAGTGCCCATTTCCCACCACCATGGATCCCAGTATCCCTCCCACCCCCCATCCCTCCCATCCCACCCTGCCTCTGTGGCAGGGCATTCCTTTTTGTTGTCTCTCTCCTATTGGGTTCTGTGGTTTGCAAGAGAGGCATTGAGTGGCAATCATATTTGGTCTATAGTCTACTTTCAGCATGCTTCTCCCATCCTGGGAGGATCTTCCCAACACCCTTTATTTGGTGCTCCCTTCTCTATCTGAGCTCCCTTTTCCCCTAGCATGTGTGGCTGGCCGGTAGGAGTACCTTTTTAACAGTGATCTAAATTTTCAGTCCTTGAATGAGTGTCAGTCTTGAAACCAAAGTTCTGCAGCACATGTTATGACTGCCTGTATGCAGGAGATGTGCAGCCTTGTAGCTGCAGATGTCTACTTTATAAACTATCTGGTTTCTTTCACTCATCACCTGTGTCTCTTTGCAGTTCAGTAACTGGACTGGGTGTTTCCCTACTAGCTTCCTGGACTCGTATATTCATTTCTTTCCCCAAGTTTGTGCTATTCTTTCTTTGCATAAGCTCTCCGTTTCCTTCTCTCTTCCTATTTGGGTTACATATTTCCCTTAGGTCGCCTTTCCTGAGAGAGCTGGAGATTTTTCATTGTATTTTTCACTTTTTCAAAACCCTCTTATTTATCTCTCTTTTCCACTTGGTTCATCTTCAGATATCTATCTTCCGGCCCACGATTTGCTCTTCCACCTGGTGGATTTGGTTTCCGTGGCTTCCTAACCACGCTGCTGCTCACAGATGGAGTTCTCACATCCCTAACCTCTGAAAGCTCCCTATTGACAAATTCCATTTCTTTGCATACTTTACTGAGGTGCTGGCGGATGGTTTCCCTCCTTTAGTTGTGGCGCTTGCAAACATACTTGTAGGGGGGTTTCGCTCTTTAGTTGTGATGTCCATGGACAATCTATTTGTAACACTTTTCAGGGTTTGCTGTGGGGGCGCTCACACATGTGCTTCCTGGGGCCTGCACATTTTGGCCATGCTGCTTACCAGATGTTGCATCTCTTTGTGGTGTGCACACAAACCTGGCTAAGGTGCTAGAAATCACTTGTATTGACAGGAATCAGATAGCAGAGCTATTGGTATTGTGCTTGATGATGTGCTGGTATCAGGGATTGAACATGCAGCCTTTGCCTTGCAAGGCCTGTCTAAGCTATGGGCTCTCTCCTAGGTCCTGGGTTTCAACATCAGTGATTGAGTCCATATCCTGTTATTCATACATAGACTAACATAAACATAATATAATATATATTACACACATCTATTGATGCTATTGTAAGTTAATAAAAATAATTTCTTCAAATACTATGGTACATAACGGTCACGGTCACGGTCCTCCCGTTGTTCATCGATTTGCTCGAGCGGGCCCAGTAATGTCCCCATTGGAGACTTTGTTGTTACTGTGTTTGGCATATCGAATACATCACGGGTGGCTTGCCAGGCTCTGCCGTGCGGGCGAGATACTCTCGGTAGCTTGCCGGGCTCTCTGAGAGGGGCGGGGGAATTGAACTCGGATCGGCCATGTTGGCTGCGTGCAAGGCAAACGCCCTACCCACTGTGCTATCGCTAAAAGGAATACAAAGAATATGACTGCCAATGTGGAAAAATTGCCTCCTCCTGAACGGTCCCTACTACTCTTTGAACCTCACAGCTTCTTCCTTCCTCTGACCTATTTGTGAGGATGAGTGGTCAAGGAGCTCACATGATCAGAATATCCACAAGTAAATAGTCACACTAAAGTGACATGTACTTTACTTTTGACGGCGAAAAAATAAGAGACAAATATACAAATTTTTGGATTGCTTATGTAGAATAGAAAGCAGTATGGTTCAATCTCTTGTATTCCATCCAAAACCTGGTAAAGTTCAACCTCTTGTATTCCACCCCAAGCCCTGGTAGGTTTCAATCTCTTGTACACCATCCCAAACCCAGTCTAGTTCAATCTCTTGTACCCCATCCAAAACTCTTAGACAATAAAATATCCTAAGGAGCTTTAGATGAGCTTAAATACAGGGATATGTTAGGCTACAAATATGTGACTCTAGCATAAAATGCAGATGTGACTATGTAAGATTAGTTTGTGTGTATTACAAATGAATATACAAGAGAAAACATACCGAGACCTCCTGGTAGGGATTTGACCATATTCTTCAGCTGAGCAATTTCTAGGGCTTCCCAGAGTCTATCATCTGTACATTTGCATTCTGGATCTAAATTAAACCTAAAGGAAAAAAAATCAATTTATCAATAGATTAAGATGTTTTAGTCAAGTTTGCTTTGGTTACTATTGATTCTCAGGTCTCAGTACAGCAAATATTTAATTCATGTGTAACAAGTTACCTGAATACTAAGAAAAATGAGTCTTAATGATATAAATAACAAATACATATGTATGATCTGAAATCATTCACTACTTGAATTCATCTACTTTCATATTGGGGCCAATGTAACTTGAACACTGTCTCTATGAAAACATTCCTACTGAGTTGCTACTGAATACATAAACCTACAGGGGAGAAGAGAATACTATGTTCTATAGAACATTTTGGGGGGGGATACACTTGGCAGTGCTCAAGCTTACTCCTGGCTCTGTGCTCAGGGATCACTCCTGGAGGTGCTTGGGGACCAATGTGATGTCAGGGATCAGGGATGCTGCATGCAAGGCAAATTCCCTGAGGGCTCTACTCCCTTTCCAATCCCATAGAATGCTAGTTTAGATGAGCCGTGCTGAAGTATAAGATATAGCAGTAGTATTCGCAATAAATATGTTCAGAGATTTAAATGCACCGTGGCATTGTTAAATAACTTGATGTTGCCACAGTGTTAATTAATATTAGGGCTGAATATTGAGCAACCTTGCACATATGTTGTTCTCTTTCATATAAAAGTAATAAGCTCAGGAGGTGGCAAATACTTCCTTGTAATTAAGTGGAAGGGAGACGGGAGCAAAGGAGAATCAGAGATGGATGAAGTGAGTGACTGGGAGGAGATGGATGATTCCATGTAGAGGTGGAGTCGTGGACCTACATCTTATTAAGTGGATGAACTGGGGTCAGTCAGAGCTGCTCTGCATCCAGCCCCCTCCTGCCCTGGAGGATGGGGATAATGGAGTGGATTTTAGAGCAGTGCTTTGAGGATTGACCTGGTCCATATATTTCAAGTTCCTAGCAGACAAAAGTAGATAACACTGTTCACCCCATCTTGCCCCCACTGTGAGAAAGCACAGCTAGGCACTGAGGTGATGGAAGCAACTTCTTAAAAGCAATTTTAGCTGGAATAAAGAAAAGCTGTGAGGAATGGGGCAGGGATGAAATTTAGGAACGATTCAAACTCAGTATCTGCTGATACAGGGACCTGCTGAGACAGCAGTTATGTGAGGCAGAAAGCCTGTATGTGTCAACCAGGGGTCCCTGCCCCCTGAGCCAGAGGGAAGAATGGTTAGGGACGAGAACTCTTGGAGAATGAGGGATGAGAGATTTCTGTTGGCAGGTTAGTTTCATGATTCTTGGGGTTCTTGAGCAAATGGAAGGACATTTGCTGGTATCAAATATCCACTTGATGGTATCATCAAGATGACCTTGCTGGTATCAAATATCCACTTGATGGTATCATCAAGATGACCTTGCTGGTATCAAATATCCACTTGATGGTATCATCAAGATGACCTTGCTGGTATCAAATATCAATTTGATGGCATCATCAAGATGACCTCGCTTCTTTACACCCAAGATACAGTTCTGTGCAATCCCCAAGCAGAGCCAAAAAGCAAATTGTTATGTACCTAAATTTCAGTCCAACTCCTCACTTACCTAATCGATCCACTGAATAGTATTGGGTCCTGCAGAATGATGGAGAGCCTGGAACGAAGTGTGTGCAGTGGTAGTTTTGAAATATCTATCCCATCAATGACAATCTTCCCTGTTAAGGAAGAACAAAAGTGACAAGTCTGTAGGAAAATCACGTGCAAAATATCTGTCAACAAACTGGAGGTACTTTCCCAGTTCAGGGTTGAAACTCAGGAGTTGAGGCTTTCCACTGACGCATTAAAATATCACTATGAATGTGTCTTAGGGAAAATAAAAATCTACACTTTGGTGATACTCTCTCTGAAAGGATTTTTTGTCGGCTTCTTGGACCACACCCAGCGGTGCTCAGGATTTACTCCTGGATTTGTGCTCAGGGATCACTCCTGGTGGGGCTTGGAGCACCATATGTGGTACTTGGGATTGAACTGGGTTTGGCTGCATGCAAAGCAAGTGCGCAACCCACTTCACTATAGCTCTGGCCCAAGAATTTTTTTTATTAATACTGTCTACTGATGACTCCAGGGTGAGTAATTTTTATTTCCCCAACTCTGCATTCTTTCTTTCCATCCGGAGTGTTTATCTGGGATATCTGCCTCAAACCATGGATTGTAGGATACAAAGTCCTCACAAATATTTGGTTTTGTTTCTGCAGGGTTAGATAGTTGTTGGGTTTCTAAGGGGAAATGTGCCACAGGGCCAGTGAGAAAAGTTGGTCAGTAACTCACCATCAAATATATCGACCATTCGGAAGAAAGCCAGAGACAGCGAAGACTTCCCACTGCCTGTCCGACCACAGATTCCCACCTGGAAAAGCAGAGATGCTCAAAAGTAGGAGGGCACAAAGGGCAGGGGATGGGTGAAAAGGAAGCACTAGTTACTTTACTGTGTTCAAGTCCCCACTCTGTGCTCCCATCTCCCTTTGTGATGATTAACTGTTAAGATGAAAATTGGGAGCTCTGGCCAAAGTTGAACCAATTCTATTCAAACTCTTGGTTTCTCTCTGCTTTTCCTTTGTGGTTCCATGCGGGAGGGGGGGTGCTGTTTGTTTGGTTTGTTTGGGGCCACACCTGGCTATACTCAAGTCTTACTCCTGGTTCTGCACTCAGGACTGATTACTGCTGGTGGTGCTCAGGGAACTATACAGATGCCAGAGATGGAACATGCCAAGCAAGTGCCTTACCTGCTCTACTACGGCTTTGGCCCTCATGTGGCTCCATTTAATGCACTGAGTAGACTGTTTCTATGCCAAAGTATTCCATTTTACCTCAGAAGTGAAGATTTCCTAATGAAAGTTGGGTGAGTCCTTTAATTTAATTAGTGCTCACGAGCTCTCTTCACAGAAACTAAATAAATCAGCTGGGGACTAGGTCTGGTATAAATGCTAGGATTCTCAAGGGTTGATCCAGTTTGGCTAGGAGCCAGAAACTTGGAAGCATATGCCTATCAGTGACGCACCCTGTTTTTATTGGCACTGTGAGTGGCACCGTGATTGAGAAACCGTGGGTTTTATCTTGTGCCTCCTCTCCCTTTTCTCTCTTATGTGGATGCTTTGAGCAGTGAAGGGCAAGGCATATGATGTGAGGTCAGGGTGAAGGTACCCAGTGGGTACCTTAAGAGCTAAGGTGAAAATGGGGTGGGCCTTGAGAGGTTTGGTTTGAAATGAATCAAATGGCAATGAGTTTCATACCTTTTGCCCAGGTTTGATATAAGCCTTCACATGCTTAAGAACAGGTTTCAGATTATTTTCATATCTGACACACAAGTCATGAATCTTGATCTCCCCTTCCTGTGGCCAGTGCTCTGGAACTTGAGAAGGATCTGAGTGGAGGGGGAGGGGTAGGAGTGGGGGATGGGGAGAGAGGATGAGAAACGGAGGGAGAGAACAAGATACATATGTATATATACATACACACATATATATATACACACACATTTTTCCTAAATTTAAAGTAATACTGAATCAAATTAATTTTTAACTAAAATTACATTCAAGAGCCTCTTGATTATATCTTTGAAAATAGGTTTCAGATTTTGGGATGGAAGTATTAACCAGTATCTTGCCTCTTCAGCATTCTGGAACTGACTTCGAGTCAGGATGGTTCATTTGTCAATGAATTTGTTTGGCTCAACAGTTGGTCATCAAACACCAGAGTGTTTAACATATAAGAGGTGCGGTGCAAAGAGCTGTTTTATCTACTGTGACATGGAGTCACTGCTCTGTGCCAAACACCACAGAAAGCACCTCTTCCTGCTTGAGCATCAAGTGGCAGAGGCCAGCTCAGGTGGGCAAGAAGCAACAAGTTCTGGGACAGTTTAAGAGGAGATAAGACCTCAGAGTAATCTCTAAGAACGTGTGTTCCGAGAGATGCAGTACGGGCAAGAAGAGCTGAAGAGGAAGGAAAAGCAAAGTCGGTGGTATGACCACGATGAATGGAGTATGGGAGGGTGATGGGCAATGAGACAGCCAGGTAGATGGGCAAAGAGTGAGCTGATGAAGGAATCTGGACTCTTTCCCTTACATTTGTAGAGTTCTTGGAAGATTTAGGCAAAGAAGTACATCTGAAGCATACGTTTTACATTTGAGATGGTTCTATTCTCAGTACTTTTTCCTGCCAATTTTATGCTAGCAAGTGTGATGACTCTTAGTCAATAGTTTGATAGCCAAATGTCTCGGCATCTAAGTTCACAAGGTCTTGAGAAAGAGAATACAATAAGTCAAAGTTCAGGTCACTAGTTGCTGTAATCAAGCACAAATATTTTCATAATTATCTGTGATATGTGTAAATAACATTTACTTGCACTCTATATCTAAGGATTTTCAGGTCATAGGCGTGCTATCTTTTCAGGAGGCTGTGAGCAAGCAAAGTGAGGTTGAAAGGGAATTCTCTAAACCGCAGTGGAAAACAAAAGCAAAGGCAATGTGCCTGACAGACAACAGATACTGGTTTAAAGTATTCAAGTGAAATGCAATAATATTCAGAACAATACCCATGGTGCCTTCATAGTTCTCAGACTCCATAGTCAAGAAACTGTTCACCTTCTTCACTGCCCCCATCTGGACCTCCAGGTCAGCCAAGTTCCTCACAACCCAATTCAAATAATTGGTTATCTGTGTCAGGTGACAACAAAATGAACACATTGACATTGAAGTAGCAATCATCATCATCTTGGATATCTGGGTGACTTTCACAGACTATATAGCATGGGGCACTCCTCTTAAGTGCTAACCAGATATCAAGGGCCAGAAGATGACATGGCCCATGCTGGCTAAGAAGACCTCTGCTCCTAGCCAACAGACTGAAATGTCACCTCTTAGTGAACTCTTCTCTGGGTTCTCTGCACTAGGTCCCTCTGTTTGCTTTGATCTCGTTTGTATTCCTTTAAGTTTCCCTAAACGATTTGTAAGAGGTTAGGGGTGAGGGTAGGGATCAGGGCAGGAATCTCAAATAATCTGGCCATAGGGTTTGAGAAATTGAAACATTTGGTTCATGCTCTCAGAAGTGAGAGCCACACTGTTCTACAATGCCAAATTTTGCCCCAAATTGCCCCAAATATTTGCAAGATGAAATCTTGCCTGGATTTCAGGCTTCTCCTCTAACATCCGTTAATGAGAAGTGTTCACTACCAAAGATACATTCAACATTGCAGCAAGGAAGATTTTCAGCCAAACCTACCGTCAGTGCGTACAGAAGACCTAGACCCACCAATCCTGAGTTGGAGGATCCACTAATGGACGCAATGGAAGCAGTGAGGACAATGCATGCTCCCAGATAATCCTGCAAAGGAGCAAGAAAAAAAGGTTACGAGAGTTTTCTCAAAGTCAGAAACCAAAGATCACAGTTAACTCAGGGAGAGGCAAACCAAGCTCACACCCCTCTGCAGTGTGTCCTGTTGTTTCCGGGAAAAGCATCCCAGAAAGACAGGGAAGAATGAGCACCATTGTAGGGTAGGAATGCAGGTGATGCAAGGGTCTCACATCCATGTAAGTCTGGGCTCAGAGGAGCTGTAAATCCTGCCAGAAGCTGAACTGCATTTGACAGCACGACCAAGATCCAAAAGAACTTCCTTGCCTAGCTAGCCCTCACCCCAACTTTCTGCTGCCCAGACAGGCAATTATTTTGGACTTGATTTCCTTCCTCAAGTGTCATGCCCACGTAGTCAAAGGATTTTGTTATTGTTGTTTTTTTCATCGAATCACTGTGAAATAGACCCTTACAGAGCTGTTCATGATTAGGTTTCAGTCATACAGTGTTCCAACACCCATTCCTCCACCAGTGCATACATTTCAGCACCAGAGTCCTCAGTTTCCCTCCCATCACCCCCCGTCCACCCCCAGCCTACCTCTATGGCAGGCACTTCTCTTTCCCTTTAGGGGAATTAAAGTTTGCAATACAGACACTGAAAGGTTCTTATGCATATCTCTTTAGCTACTTGCAGCACTCATTTCTTGTCCAGTATGATCAGTTCCAACTGTTTTTTGTTTTACTAGTCCCTTCTCTATCTCACCTACCCTCCACCGCACACACACTTGTGATATAGTCCAATCACGGACCAGTCATCCTAGCCCTTGTTGTCTAGGCAAGGGTTTTGAGTGCTACAGCAAGGTCCCTGCAGAAACTGGCCTCTGGCTAACTTGCTGGGCTCTGTACTGAGCGTTGTGTCAATTCTGTGCTCCGAGCCTTGGGTACTAAGGCTCATAGTTTTCATGTAAGTGAGTAACAGTTATGCCTCCTCCTGAATTATGCATGTGTCCTCAGAGTACTTGAGTTGTCTGTGACTCGATGACAAACTCTTTTTGTTGGGGCAGAAGGGACTCCCAAGACAGGAGATGCAAGTTGCCACTCCCGGTGAAACTCAGCCTCAATTCAGTGCTCAACCTCAGAAGTGCTTAAGGGACCATGTGGTGCCAGGGATCAAGCTTGCATGGCAAGCTGATGGTCCATGAGCCCCTGAGTCCTCTCCCGGTCCCAAGGACAACTCCTTTTGGAAATTCAAAATACTCCCCAAGGCCCACTGGAAACTCAAAGGAAAAACAGGACACATCCGCCCATTTTCTACCATTTTTGTCCATTTTCATTTCCACGCATTGTAATATACTGTGATTAAAATAGACTACATTTTAGTACATAAGGTTGTAACACAACGTACCATTTGAAAAAAATCACAACCCCCCCCATCCACCAACAAAACCGTGTCATACTGCAAACCCCAATAAATAGGCAGACTATCAGGCATGAACACTTCAGAGTTATCTGCAGTCACATCTCCCAGGGTATGGTCATCTTTGCTCCTTAATGGACCAGCACAGCAGGGAGCCAGGTACTAAGACTTTAGTGCCTATCATGGGCACTCTACATTGGAGTCAGAGGCAGTTACTTCTTAGATCAGCTCATATATGTATTTTTATGCTTCTTTGATCCAAAGACCCAAGTTGGAGCCAACAACCCTGAAAATCAAACTTGGAGGGGAATAAAAACAGTGTTCCTAGACTTGAAATCAGATCTGGGTTCTAATGCTGACTTTGCCAACTGCTGCCAAGTGAGACTGGGCAAAACATTTAAATGTCTTGATGACTTGGTTTCTTTTTGGGAAAGTAGAAATGACACCCAATGCATGGGAATTTTGAAAGGGATAAAAATGTTAAACACTGTTCGCTACACTCCATTTATTATTCCCATTGCTCCTGGATGATTTTCAGATGTTTGAAGCCAGCTTAAAAGTTTTTTGTGTATCATAAAACATCAAAGTTGAAAACAGACTCTAAAATGTAATTTCCTATTAATTCCTATGCTTTTTACAGAGAAGAAAGAAAGAACTACGCAGATCTAATCCCTGGAGCAGTAAATTCCATAGAAGTAGTAAATATTCTTTGAGTGCTACTTCTGATGTATCCGTTTGTTAACAACATGTTACATCCCAATCAGACATTCTTTTTCTTCTTTTTTCCCCCCTTAATTTAAAACAAACTCTACTGGGATGCTGTATTCAACTAGTCCCGGCTGCTTATTTATGTTTTATTATGACTAACATAATCCCCCAATACATTAAAATCTTTATAGCAGTATGAATTTTTTCTTTCATTTCTCTTGAGTAAGCTAAGTACTTTCAAAGATATGTTATCAGCTTGTTATCTCCACATTTCTTTTCTAAGTGAAAGTTTCAAAGAGTTTCTTTGATCAATTCCAGAGGGTCCTTGTAGCAGTGTACTCCTGGTTTGAGGTCAGGGAATATACCACTGACTTCTGAGAAATTTCTTCATCTACAACCAGGAGGGACTTCACTTAATCATTTGTGTTCATCTTTTTCTAGCATTTATTTTTGTTAAAAAGAGTCTCATTTGCCCTCCCCTCTCTGCATTCATTTGTCCTCTATCTATCCATTCATCCTTTAAAAGTGTGATTCAGTTCACATCATTTCCCTAAGATTATCCAGACTTTCTGTTGCGCTTAAAATCAATTCAGACTCTGATGAGATACAAAGAGAGACAATGTAAAGTGGGCACTCAAGACCCTGCTTTTCTGACTCAGGAGATCTTTTTCCTTCCTTCCTCCTTCCAAATCTTGGAGAAACACTAACTTTTTCTACCTATGAGTCTGCCTGACAAAAGGCTCAAGAGCCTCACTCACTTTGACAGATAAAATCATTATTTGATGAAAATAACCAAGAGCCAGAGCTGTAGTACAGAGGGTGGGCATTTGCCTTGCATGTAGCTGGCCTGTTTAGATTCCCAGCATCCCATATGGTCCCCCTGAGCCCTGCCAGGAATAATTCCTGAGTGCAGAGCCAGGAGTAACTCTTAAGAATCGCTGGAAATGAACCCTCTCCCCGAAAAAAAAAAGTCAAAAAGAAAAGAAAAGGAAAGGAAAAAATAGAAAAGGAAAGGAAAGGAAAGGAAAGGAAAAAAAGAAAAGAAAAGGAAAGAAAAGAAAAGGAAAGGAAAGAAAAGAAAAGGAAAGGAAAGAAAAGAAAAGGAAAGGAAGGAAAAGGAAAGAAAAGAAAAGAAAAGGAAAGGAAAGGAAAGGGAAGAGCCATGCATGGACTAAGAGTTAGGACTAAGCTTATCAGGGACAGAGGGGGGAAGCACATGCTAAATGATGTTCAGGAGGACTTGTTTGGAGTTTGGAGTTTGGAGAGCTGCGGGAGGCCAGTGTGACTGGTGACTGAGGAATATGTAGGAGCAGTGATGTGGCAGGGGAAAGGATTCGGCTGGGACAGCTGCCCACATTTTGGTACAGGACTCGCAATTCTCCAAGCTCTGCTTCTCTGCTGAGACAGCTTTACACTGCAGTTACCTTCCTCCAGAACAGTTACAAAAAGTGGTAGGAATAGAAACCCAAACCCTAACCCAAACAGCATTCTGAACTCATCGAAGTATCCAGAAAAGCAGACAGGGTTTAAAAGGTACCAAGAATGTGACACAGGTGGACTGTCCCTTGGATAAAGTACTTAGAGTTATTTCTGTAGAGATAGCAGGGAGCATGACTTCCATGTGGCCAACTTGGGTTCAATCCCGACCACTCCATATGGTCTTCCAAGCCCCTCCAGGAGTGACCCTCAGTGCAGAGCAAGGAATCACTGGGGAGGCCCCAAAATAATAAAACAAAACAAACAACAAAAGATCACTCCTTTAAGAGACCACTCAGCTATCACAGCTCAGAGATTCTCCTCCTGATCCAGAACCCAGCCATGGAGTCCAACGCTCCATCAGATTATCCTCCACCCTGTAAGAGCTTTGTCTGAAAAGATCCTATTTGTTTACAACGTCATTCTCTATCATCTCTCCCTGGAACCTGATTTTCAAGACTCTGAACTACCATTATCTCCAGCAATTGGAACTAATGATAAAGACATTATAACAACAGTTCAGTAATCTCTTACTGAATAAAGGATGGGGTAAACTCATTTCTTCAATAAAAGATTGACCGAGTTTTTTATATGAACGAATTAAGACTTCTTCTAGTTATTTTTTCCCCGGGATTCCCAAGAATCATTTAATTCTCTACCAATCCCTTTTCTGGTTTTAACAGACGAACATATAAAAAGATGACAAAGATACACCGTTGATAACAAGTCCTCTAACGAGTTTGATTCTTCTAATCCCCTGACTCAGAACCGTGAACCAATATTTCTTAGAAAACAAGCCTATGCCTAAATGTTAGGGCTTTATCTCAAGTGAAAAACACTCTTAAGCCGTAAGCATGATCATTCAGTGCCAAGTTATTTTACTGTTTCAGCTGTGGAGGAAACTCAATAAACACTATTCAGCTGAACCAAATCAACAGGCCCACAGTAAACACAGCCACATCTAAGACATTGAAACAAGATACCACCAAGTCTAAGTAAATGGAAATTAGGCAGCAGACTCCGTATAAACGTTATGCAGGCAGATCCTGGATATGGCTCAGTGGGAGAGGTCATTCTTGTGGGGCTCTGGGTTCAATGCCTAGCACTGAAAAATCAGTGTTGTCTCATCTGCTTAAATATTATAAGGGAAATATGAAATAGTAGATATTCAGTCCCTCCTGCCCACTCTCCCTTGACATTGAATTTATTTAGCATAGAATCCTTGCAGTCCAGATTGGAGTCATTATTGTAGACCCGAATGGTAGCCTTATTCTGGCAATGGAGTCATCAAGAGACATGAAGCTAACGAAGGGACGAACAGAAGGACCTGGTCAGTGAGTGAGCACCATATGTTCACATGGATAATGATTCCAAAATTCTTTCCAGTTTTCACTATGGTCATTAGATATTATTTTAACTGTTCTTTCAGAAA